GGGGAGGGTGAGGTGTTGGGCGCCCGCGCGAGCCGCCAGTGCCGTCCAACTGGATAGTTTGACCTCGTACACAGGCTGGCGTTGGAAAACCGTGCGCCAGTGGGCGGCAAGGTGCTCTGAAATCACCGTCTCGTCGGTATGAACGGTACCTGCGTCGTCTTCTAAGAGGTGGATGCCCATGCTCTCCGTCTTCCGGGCCAATCGGGCCAAGCGTCTATGTATCGAATTCCGCTGCACGCAACGACGGTGCTCGTCCAGATCCCCCTGTGATTGGCCATCCTCCTGATGTTGTTCTCGCATGTCCGACAAAACTTCGTTCCGAGTCAAGCTGACGGCCATAGCCTTGAGCTCAAGCAAGGCGCTGTGTAGTGACGAGTGTGTCGGAGCTACCGTGTCCACCCAGGCTGCAGGGAGCCTGCGCCGCAGGCTTTTGGTGGAAACCAGAATGCCCTTGTGAATGTCGGCTATGATGGAGAAAGCGGTGGCTGCCGTCGGAGGGACTTCCACGGAGTCGGGAAAATCCCGGCCAAAGTTGGATTGCTTCATGTTCCTCGCCACAGTATGCATCGCTGTCTTGAGCATGTGCAATTTTTGGATCGGGTCAGGCACGTCTCCGTCTCGCGCCCGTTGTTTGACTTTGTCGTGGAATTATCTGGACACCCGGGGCGCGAAATCAGGATGTTGGAGGCATCGTCTCTGCAACGCGGGTGGCCTGCCTTGCCCTCCGGGCCTGCGGTGTCCGAAGGAGACAGGGCGATGGTCGGAGACCGCCCACCCCGCCGCGCCCCTCCTTGGCCAAGGCCATGCCGACGCCCAAAGACCGCCTTCAAAAAAGTCCGCCGTGTGGTGGTTGGAATACACTCTGTCCAATCGCGAGCGTGAGCCCGTCGACTGGAAGGTGAAATCTGGCTGGGAGAGCTCCAGGAGTTTGCCAGGGCCTGCCACATGTTCCACCCAGTGTGCCTCCTCCGTTGCGTCTGTCTGGCCCGTGGGTCGTGCCCCTTCCAGCATGTATCGGTCCGTATCCTTGGTGACCCAGTTGAAGCCCCCCATAACGATCCACGGCGAAGTAGGTTTAGCATCCATCGCCCAGCGAAGGCATCGGCGAGGACGACCTCTCTCATCCGCGGCCTGGCGACCAGAAGGCGCATACAGTGTAGCGGTCGCCAGGGCACCGGATGGACCAGAAAGGTGCAAGATAGCAAGCCGGCCTGGTACAGCTTCCAACCAATCGCCAGAACGTATTGAAGTAAACTGATGGAGAAAAACGTCTTGCATTGCTAACCCCACCCCGCCCTGACGCCGGGAGCCGTGCGACCACAGATGCGTACACCCGTCCACTGCCTGAAATACCTGCGCGTTGGCCTCGACGCCGTGCGTCTCCTGGATCCCCACGAAGTCGTGTTGAGATAACAGCTGCTGCAAATACACTCGTTTCTGATACTGGAATAACAGCAGCCTGTGCACACCGGATGGGCAAGACAGGAAAAACAACATATTGCGCTCACTGGCTCACTTGTCCCCGCCGAACCGCACCCCGTCCTCCTTCCATGACGCTTCAAGCGGAACGAACACCACGTTTCTGCACAAACGGAGCCAACACGATCGATGCTAGAGTCCATGCTGATGTCCGTAGTGTCCATGCTGATCTACGTGCCGGAGTCGGTGCTGGCATCGGCGCTGACGTCGATGCGGGTGCCATCGTAGGCGGTCATGCTGGCGTCGGTGCTGTTGTAGGCGAGGGTGTTGCTGCTGATGTCGGCGGTGACATCGGTGCTGGTGTAACTCAGCGCCGATGTTGGTGCCCATGCAGGCGCTGGCATTCGTGCTGTCGTCAATGTAGGCGACGGCACTGGCGTCGGCACCGTTGTTGGCGCAAGTGCCATCGCAAGCATTTACGTTGACGTCGGTGCTGGCATAGGCGCCGAGGATGTTGCTGGCGTCGGTGATGACACCGGTTCTGTGGTAGGCGCTGTCGTTTGTGTGAGTGCAGGCGCCTGAATTCGCGCAGCCGCCCCGTGCTGGCGTCGACCATGCCGTAGCCGCTGAAGTCGGTGCCGGCGAAATCGCCAACGTGCTGGCTGGCGACGGTGCTGGCGTCGATGCTGGCGTAGGCGACGACGGTTGTGCCGAAGTAGGCGCCGACTACTTTACCGTCTCGTGCCGCCGTCGCGGTGAATCCGATCGGTGTCCTGACACGCGCGTGCAACCACTGGAATTCCTAAGTGCTGCGTTCTGACATTGTGCTGGTGCATCCTGTCGGCACCAATGGGGTGGACAAACCGTTCCCCCCCGAAGCAGAGGACGACTCGAACTTGCTGCGGTCACCAACTTGCAGCCGCGTAGAGAACGGCCGCGTTCGTCAACGCAGCACGGATTACTCTAGTGTTCCTGGATGCGCAGGCGCTGCTGCGAGTCGTGCGTGCTGAGCCCGAAGTCGCCGCAACAAAGTGTCGCCTTTTTCCCTCGGCCCAAACCTCCGGGAAGTCCTGGAGGTCGAATGAAGGGGGAGATAAGTCCGTGTGTCGACTGGCCTGTCGGGGGCCGCAGCGACGTGGCTGGGCTTCCTTGCTCAAATTCTATCGGCACGCGTCAGAACCTTCGCAATTGCGACCGAGGCAATGTCCTGCGAACGTGGCCGAACGTGTCCTGTAAACGGATTACACCACGTAGATTGCACCACGTATGTTTTTTTTTTTTCAGGGAACCCGCAAGGCGCCACATGTCTCCAGTCCGACCACCATTCACACGCAACCTCAGCCAGCCTGCCAGGCCCGAAGCGAAACTCTGGGCACGCACAGTGAGGGAAAAACGTCTTATTCAAACCCACATAAGACGAAAGGGTATTGGCGCCGTGTGGGCAACTACCCCAAGTGGCTTCACACAACGGCACAAGAGAGGATAACTCTCCGCGCAAAGTGATAGATTGCACCACGTATGTTGCACCACGTAGTATGACAGAACACACTGTTTGAGGGACCACGGTGGATAAAATGTGTACTGTAAGCTTCGTGATGCATGCTATCCGGTGCAAGCTAGGTAGTGAACGTTAGATGCTGTACGCTACACTGTGCAAGCTACTATGTGGTGCAATCCAGGTGATGCGAGCTATGCGTCACATTCTAAATTGTGACAGCTATGTGGTGTAAGCTTTTTGGTGTCAACTGTATGGTATGAGCAATGTGGTGGAAGCTATGTGGTGCAAATGATTTTACCCATGATTTGACACATCCCACGCACTTGCAAACATCCCACCCACACACCCGCAACTTGGTTTGCAAAACCTCTTAAGACCGACTACGACGACACCGACGACAACCACTACGACGACACCGACGACGTCTCCGACGACTTCGACGACGACAACGAAGCCGACGACGACGACGAAGACGACAACGACGACGTCGCTAACGAAGACGACGACGAGGGAGGAGGGAGGACGACCACGGCGACAATGACGACGACGACGACAACGACGAGGGAGGAGGAAGGACGGCGACGACGCGAACGACGAAGAAGGAGGAAGGACGGCGACGCCGACGACGACAACGACGAGGGAGGAGGGACGACGACGACGACGACAACAACGACGACGGCGACGAAATAGAAGGACGACGACGACACGCCGACGACAGACGACGACGACGACGAGGGAGGAGGAGGAGGGACGACCACGGCGACAACGACGACGGAAACGACCACGACGCCAAAGAGGACGACGACGACGAACACGAGGAAAGCAAGAGGACGACGTAGGCGACGACGACGACGACGACGACGACAAGGGAGGAGGGAGGACAGCGACGACGACGACGACGACGCAAGAGCGCGCGCGCACGCTTTTGTTACCTTGTGTTTGTTTGTAGGTTTTTTGGACACGAGGTTTTTTAAATCCTTCCGAAACCGATGGGTTTTGAAGGATTTCGGCGTACGCGCGCGTCTGCACTTCGTTCCATCTTTTGCAGAGGATTCTCGCGACGGCACACGCGCAAGGGCGTTCGACAGATTTCGACATGCGCGCACCCGAAGCTCGTTTGGTAGCATTTTGAAACAAATCGTGATAAACCTATGGTTTTCTTAAGATTTCGCAAGAGCTCGCGCGTAAGCTTTTCTTTGTCCAATCAGTGTTGTGAAACCCTGTGTTTTTGTAGGTTTGGGGGGAATTCGATTGCGAAATCCTTCCGGCACCGAAGGTGTTTGAAGAATTTCGGCATGCGCGCGCGAGTACACTTCGTCCCATTTTTGCAAGGGATTCGCGAAAAAGTGCTATGTTAGAACAACAAGGGAACCTCAGGGGGGTCGATACTGGCCCCCCTGGGATAGTGTAAATTCATATTTAGGATGGACATGTGGTCATAATGATACATGATTTACACACCCGAAAGGGGGGGCGATAACGCCGGGGGGGGGGGTAGAGTCTGCTCTCTTTTAGAAAGGAGAATCTAGTTCCTTCAGGGACAAGCTATTTGGTGTGCGGTTGAAGCTATGCGGCGATGCGGCCACCAACGGAGCGCCCACGAGGCCCCCACGACCAGCCAGGAGCGGGCACCAGGCGAAGTTCTGGGCGGACCCACCCAGCGCGAGGGGCGCCCACGAGGAGGAGGAAAGCGGGTGTGGATAGGCGGATGTCTGGAGCCCCAGGCTGGAGCAATGCGTCAGATGGGGTAGAGCTCCGAGACACACACGCGGACCTGGAAAATGCTCATTCTCCCTCACTGCGCCTCCCCTTGGCTACTCCTTCCTGTTTTCGCTCGTCCGCCCACCACCCCGCTTCCTGCTCCACCGCGCACCCGGCCTCCATTGCGTGCTGGCTGAAACTGTCGGTGCCCAACTGCTTGCTCTGACGGCCCTACCGTAACAACTCGTGCCGCGTCCGTACTCAGCTTTGTGATACGCGCTGGAGCGTTCTACCACAGCGCCCTTGCTCGCATTCACGCTCCCTCCCCGCCCTACCCCTCATCTTCACTTCCGCGCACCTCCCCTCTCCCCCGCCGCGTGTCCTTCGGCTTGGCCGTGTAGGGCTCCCGCGCAGCGACAAGATCGGCAGGGTGCTCGGGCATCACAGGCTCTGAATTGGGGTTGGTGCTGCGGTATCGGAGGCACTGGTTGGCGCTCTGCAGCTATTGGCGGCTGCCCTCCTCCCGACAATCAGCGGCTGCAGGGTCGGCTCCTTGGCGACAGGTCCCCCTTTTCGGGCACCCCTGGCTGGAAGCACCATCGGGCACCGATCGGGCTGCCACTCGGCCTTTCGCGAAATCGGGGATTTGAATTGCGCACGCCGTGCTTTGCAATCGTGCCAGCTCCTGCCTAAAAAAGTCGTGAAAGCAATGTGTATATATATATATATATATATATATATTGATGCATGTGTTGATGTATGTAATTGTTTGAACTCGGCTTGACAGCAAAGACAGCCTCCACGCACATCTCGTCAACGTATGTATAGATCAATGTAAATGTGTTTGTGTGTATGTCTGCGTGTGTGCGTGCAGTCATACAGGCCTTGAACAAGTGTATCGGAGGTTGGGGGGTGAGATCGAAGTGGAACGGAGAGCCCCCCTACCGGGAAATCGATTTCGGTTTCGTGTTCGTGCGTGCCGTGCGGGCGAGGCGAAGCTGCGTGGGCGGGCGAGAGAAAGTCTCCTGTGGCTGAGGCGCGGCCGGACCAAATGACTCCCTTCCGGGCGGCCGGTGGCCCGCGGTGTCCCGCCGGTGTCCCGCTGGTGTCCCGTGCGGCTGAGGCGCGGCCGGACCAAATGATTCCCTTCCGGGGGCCGGGGCCCCGCGGTGTCCCGCCGGTGTCCCGCGGTGTCCCGCGGTGTCCCGCGGTGTCCCGCGGTGTCCCGCCGCCGGTGTCCCGCGGTGTCCCGCGAGGATGATGATGATGATGATGATGATGATGATGAGATGATGATGATGATGATGATGATGATGATGATGATGATGATGATGATGATGAGATGATGATGATGATGATGATGATGGTGTCCCGATGAAGATGATGATGTTGATGATGGTGTCGATGATGATGATAGTGTCCCGATGATGAGGATGATGATGCTCATGATGATTATGTTGATGATGATGACGATGATGGTGTCCCGATGATGATGATGATGATGATGATGATGATGATGATGATGATGATTCCGATGATGTTGGTGATGATGATGTTGATGGAAATGGTGTCCTGGCGATAATGTTGTTGATGATGATGATGTTGATGCTGCTTTGTTTTGGAGGAATAAGAGGAGAACGCAGCCACCTGACGATGATGTTGATGATTATGGTGTCCCGATGATGATGCTGCTGATGATGATGATGGTGATGATGATGGTGATGCTGATGGTGTCCCGATGATGATAATAATGATAATGACGATGTTGATGATGATGTTGCTCATGATGATGATGGTGCCCCAATGATGATGACGATGTTGTTGATGATGATGATGATGATGATGTCGAAGATGATGATGCAATGATCATGGTGATTATGGTGTCCCGAGGATGATGACGATGTTGATGATAATGTTGATGATGAGAACGATGGTGATCATGATGGTGTCCCGATTATGATGATGATTATGATGATGCTGGTGATGATGACGATGACTGTGTCCCGATGATGATGATGTTGATGATGAGATGATGATGGTGATGATGATGATGATGTTGTCCCGATGATGATGGTGACGTTGATGATGATGTTTATGATGATGATGACGGTGCCCTCATGATGATGACGATGTTGGTGATGATGTTGATGTTGATGATGTTGATGATGATGATGATGATGATGATGGTGATGATGACGTTGATTGTGAGAGCGATTGTGATATCGATAGTGAGATCGATATTGAGACCGAATTTGAGATCGATTGTGTGATCGATTGTGAGTTCGATTGTGAGATCAATTATGAGATCGATCGAATGAGATAGATCGAGTGAGATCGATTGTGAGATCGATCGAGTGAAATCGATCGAGCGAGACCGATAGTGAGATCGATACTGAGATCGATAGTGAGACCGATCGAGTGAGACGTTGGTTCCCCCCCCCGAACCTCCTTATCACCCGAAGGGTGGTCGCATAGGTAAATATATCCGCCGATCCGGCGTGTGAGTGTAAGGGGGTGGGGGTGACCGGGGTGGCTTTGCCGGGGAGGGGGAAGGGGGGGGAGGGGGGGGGTCCGGTGGCTTGGGTTCTGGTGGCGTGGGGAGGGGGAGGGAGGGGTTCCGGTGGCGTGGGTTCTGGTGGCGTCGGGGGGGGGTCAGGTGGCGTGGGCTTGCTCAAAAAACCATTGGATATTTCCTTAGGAATCGCTTCAGAACGCTTGGTTTGCTGGGAAGGGGGGGGAGCTGGCGGTTTCTGGGGGTGTTTTTACAGAAGCACCCTTTGTAGATGCGCTCAAGGGGTGGCGCGTGGGCTTTGCAGCTTTTACAGAAGGACCCTCTGTAGATGCGCTCAAGGGGTGGCGGATTTGGTGCTTTTACGCAAGGACCCTCTGTAGATTCGCCCAAGGGGTGGCGGCTGCTGCTTTAACA